TGGATTCGATCTGACACCTGCTTAAAGCTCCCCAGTCCCAGCCCCCACCCAATCCACACCACTCAGTTGTTTCTTTCTTTTCTTTTCTTTTTTTTTTTTTTGAGGTGGAGTCTGTCGCCCAGACTGGAGGGCAGTGGCCGCTCCCGGCCACCGCAGCTTTGACCTGCTGGGCGCCGGCGATCCTTCCGTCTCAGCCTTCCAAGTAGCTGGAACTACAGGCGCGCACTACCACGCCGGGCTAATTTTTTTGATTTATTGTAAAGATGACGTCTTGTCAAGTTGCCCAGACAGGTCTCGAACCCGCGGGCTCAGGCAATCCACTCACCTCAGCCTCCCAAAGGTGTGGAATTACAGGCTGAGCCACTGAGCCTAGCTACTCAGCTGTTTCTTTAGTCAGCAGGCTAAATTGAGCTCACTTGCTTGCCCTCTCTGTCTGTGGCAGATCTGAGCTCTAGGAAATAGATGAAAATTATCATTTGAGCTCAATAGGAAAGGTGTACTGGGAACTAGTAATGTGACTTATTATTATCATTGTTAATAACACCAGTTAAAATTTGAGGAAAGACTGTGCTAAATTTCTTACATGGGTTCCTTCATTTAATCGTCATGTCAACCTAAGAGGAAAATCCTATCATTATCCCATTCTTCTTCTGAATTAGTAAAATGTCAAATTTTAAGAATATTTCTAAAGATTCAGCAACTCAGTTGGTGAACAAGTGAGCAAAGAGATATTTTAAAGATTCTTAGCAACATTTCATTCTCACAAATAGAAAGTTAACCACTCTCTTTATAACATTGACTTGTTCAGCAACCTTGTTTTTTTATTGATGGTGTAGACCCAGGGCCCACAAGCTATGGCTGCCATCCCAAATCCATTCTGCCACCTAAGAATATACAGCCCACAAGCAAAGAATGGCTTTTACCTTTTTTTTTTTTTTTTTGATTTGGAGTCTCACTCTGTCGCCCAGACTGGAGTGCAGTGGCCGCTCCCGGCCACCACAGCCGCGACCTGCTGGGCTCCTGTGACCCTTCTGCCTCAGCCTTCCAAGTAGCTGGAATTACAGGTGCGCGCTACCATGCCTGGCTAATTTTTTTGATTTATTGTAGAGATGAGGTCTCGCCAAGTTGCCCAGGCAGGTCTCGAACCCGCGGGCTCAGGCAATCCACTCACCTCAGCCTCCCAAAGTGCAGGATTACAGACTGAGCCACCAAGTCCGGCTTACCTTTTTAAATGGCTAAAAAAAAAAGAATATTTTGCAACACATGGGAAATACATGAAATTCAGATATCATTGTCCATAAATGTAGTTTTTTTGGAACATAGCACACTCTTTTGTTTAGGTCGTCTATGGCTTTTTTTTTTTTTGAGTCAGAATCTCACTCCATTGCCCAGGCTGGAGTGCAGTGGCATGATCACGGCTCACTGCAGCCTTGACCACCCAGGCTCAGGCAATCCTTCCACCTAAGTCTCCCGAGTAGCTGAGACTACAGGTGTGTGCCACCACACCTGGCTAATTTTTTTCATTTTTGTAGATAACGAGGCCTTGCTATGTTTCCCAGGCTGGTCTTGGACACCTGGACTCAAGCAATCCTCTTCCCTCGCCTCCCAAAGTGCTAGAATTACAGATGTGAGCCACTACGCCCAACTATGACTGCTTCTGTGATTCAGTGATAGAGTTAAGTAGTTGCAACAAAAAATCACAAGCCTAAAATATTTATAGAAAAATCTCTCATATAGAATATACTTCAGCCCTATTCTCTTCAAATTATGCCAGATTCTGAATTCTGAGTATTAAAAAAAATGCTAGTTCTTGTTTAATTAAGAGGAAATTTTATTTCCTTTAAGAACATCCAGTATGCCGGGCTTGGTGGCTCAGTCTGTAATCCCGTGCCTTTGGGAGGCTGAGGTGTGTGGATCGCCTGAGCCCGCGGGTTCGAGACCCGCCTGGGCAGCGAGACCTCATCTCTACAATAAATCAAAAAATCAGCCGGGCGTGGTAGCGCGCGCCTGTAATTCTGGCTACTTGGAAGGCGGAGGCAGAAGGATCACCGGAGCCCAGCAGGTCGAGGCTGCGGTGGCCGGGAGCAGCCCCTGCACTCCAGTCTGGGCGACAGAGGAGACTCCACCTAAAAAAAAAAAAAAAAAAAAAAAAAAAAAAGAACATCCAGTAACACTACAAGTTGAAGTGTTGAAGTTCACTTTTCTTGAAGACAAAGCAAAAATCCTTTGTGTAACTGTCTAAACATCTCCCTGCCCTTTGGTTTACATGAATTCCCCTACAGGATCTATTCCTTGACCCTAAAGATAGACATCAGTTTTGTCCCAGTCAACATCTGGCTAATTTTGACTCGACCAAAATGAAAGGAGACCTGAGTGTGCAGGTTCCAGGCTCTGTCCTGAACGTCACTGAGATGAGCTTGCTGGGGATGTGAGCACTCTGCTTGTGGAAGGTCTCGTTTGGGGGATTAATCTGATAAAGCACAGATTCTTGTGGAACAGCAATGACCCTTCCTTTTTTTTTTTTTGAGTCAGAGTCTTACTCTATCACCCAGGCAGGAGTGCAGTGGCATGCTCATGGTCACTGCAGCCTTGACTTGCTGGGCTCAGGCAATCCTTCCACTTCCGCCTTCCTTGCCCAACTAAGTTTTTTTCATGGGCTACTACGTCCTGCTAATTTTTTTTTTTTTTTTTTAATTGTGGAAACAAGGTCTCACCATATTGCCTAGGCTGGTCTCAAACCCATGGGCTCAGGCCATCCTCTCACCTCCCAAAGACCTGGGATTACCAGCATGAGCCACTGTAACCTGGTACGATGGCCCTCTTATCATGGGCATTTGACCCATGCTTTCAGAAGGTCTCCTGCTGCGTTTAATGCTTTGCTGTTGTCCCACAAAATTCTTGATGATTATTGAACAACAGACCCTGCATTTTCTTTCTGAACCAAGCCCCATAAATTCATTATGTAGCAATCCTGCTTCCCATAGATGACTATAGGCGCCAGCTGCATTCCAGGGATGTGAAAGTAAGTTCTCACACAAGGAATCTTTTTGTTTCGTACTCACATCGTCCCATGGCGGAAAGTGTAGGGCAGGGTCTTGCTGTGTCTCACCTACAAACTATGCGCATCTGAGGTAGATGCTTAACTCCTCAGAACCTCTTTGTTCTCAGCTGTAAAATGGGTGATGATATTTTTCTGTCTTAGGGGACTGTTGTAAGGGTCAATTGAGGCAATGCAGGTGAAAGTACGCCCTTGCTGAATTGTGAAACCCTCACAGAAATGCCCAGCATTCTTTCCCTAGGTGTAGACATGTGGGGAGATGCCAAAGGGAAGAGAAGATTCTAGAAGGTCTCCCAGGGGACTCAGAACTTGCCTCATCACTGTTCTGCTATTCCTTAAATCAATCCCACACTGCAGCCCAGTTTCCAAAAACAAATCACACTCATGTCACTGCCCTGATTTAAAACCCTTCAGTGGGTCCTCTTTGCCCTCAGGAAGGGGAGGGGTCTTGTAACCCTGACTGTGAACCTTGAAATATGTCTCTCTTATGCTAAAAGGGGCCCTAAATAAAGAATAATGAATAACCTGAATAAATGGCATGTGAAAACAACACAAAAATGGTATGCAAAAGAGATTTTTCTTCCTAAAGGAAATGGGTGGTTCAAGTACATTTTCAACTTGCCTTTGAGACCCATGGGTCCGGGCACCTCGAGGGAGGTAGCTGGATCTTTTCGCTGGACCTAGACCAATGCCTGGCATGGAGGGGATATAAAAGAGAGGTTAGAGGCTAGACTTGAAGACAGGTAGCTTGAGGTCACATCTGCCTCTGCCACATCTTCAAGCTGTGACCTTGGGCAAGTTAAGGAACCTCCATTTACTCTACAGAGCTTGGCACAAGGTGAGAGGCTATTCAATGAATTGTAGGATCTAGAGTTCAATGTGTCTATATCAGTGACTTTATTAAAACAGTTTGTGTTTATGGAATCCTCTTGTTGTATAATGAATCACAACGTCATCCACTAATACTATACCAATGAACTAAAATGCGTTTAAGAGTCATATCGTTAAATTTATTTAATGACTAGATTTGAAACTTCTGAAATTATTAATAATTCAGTTTCACATTGTGATTTTGGTTGCCCTGCCATTTTCTTTTGAACCTCTTACTTGTAGATAGTTTTCTAATGAATGTTTAAAACATTGTAAGTAAATTGTGTTACCAAAAAAATTAAAATTTTCTTCTCAACATACCCTTTTACACTCCAGTTCAGTACCCTTGGCTTTTTAGGAAATTATAGAAATGTTTTGCAGTTTATTTGTTTTGTTCTTCCTAAAGGACAATACCTAAATAAAATGTGAAGCATTGCTTTGTGTTTTAAATACAACCAGCTGGGATTCTCTTCTAGAGAACACCCAGTGATCTTAGGGTAAGCTATTTATTCCCATAATTCCTCCCATAAAGCCCCATTTAACCATTTCAAAGACATAGACCCATTAATCTGTTTAAAGCAATTGACACCCTACCTAGAAACATGCACACACAATTCTGCATGCATTATTTTTCTCAGAGGGTTTATGAACCCCATGAAGTCCACCCATGGTATTCCTAAAGATAAGTGGTCTCGGAATAAGAGTTCCTACACTTAGATATTAATTACTAGTAAAAGCTTAATGTGTGCCCCTCCATTCTTACATGTTAACAGGGAGAAATTTGGCCCAACTGAAAGGGACTCAAAGTATTCTGGTGTAATTTGAATTTCGGGCTTTAGCAAAAAGTATGCAGTAGAGAAATTTGGGGCTGGGGCTAACAGTTATCAATTTATTGTGTGATATATTTACTTTAAAAATTTTGTCATTCACAAGTATGGCTTACTACCAATATACCCCAAAACCCCTATATCAAGAATTTAATAGATAGAATCCTGCCTAAACAAAGTTTCTAAGCCAGGATCATAAACATACAAATGGAGGTACCAAAGGTTAACACTCTGCTGTTTTGCAGGATGAAAAGTCGTATTATATCAGTGAAGTGGAAGCCAGTTTGACCATCTCAAATCCAGGTTAGTACAGAGTGGCTCTTTATCAGTGATGACACTGTGTTTCTGGTTAGTTCATTTTCTATCCTATTGAATCTGCTCATCTTTGATGCTGCTTGTAAGAAATAAGCTGGGGGAGTAGCCAGAATATAACCCTGGACTTTCCTACACCTTTGTGTGCATGAGTTTGGCCATCTGCTCGTAAAGGAAGTTGGACTAGATTGTGTCAGAGATCTTGATCAACAACAAGAGTTTAGTGACTTCTGACAGATTTGCTGTTGATAGTGCAATTTATTCTATACTCTTGGAATCATGCATTCATCACTCATTCTACTAAAATGTAGTTAGTGCCTGCTAGGTGGCAAGCCCTGTATTAGGCACTGTGGATCCATAATTATTCAAATAGTTCCTGCCCTCATGGAGCTTATGTTCTAGAAGGGGGAGAGAACACAAACACATTACATTATAATACAGTAGTCCCCCCTTGTCCACGGTTTTGCATTTCATCATTTCAGTCATTGTGGTCCAAAAATAGGTGAGTATAGTACAGTGAGAGTTTTTGAGAGAGAAAGAGAGAGATTGTTACCAAGATTCTGTGTCTGTTACCAGTGTACCGTGCTGGATTCTTGACTCCGCCACAGAAAATAATTTCAGAGTGAGTCAAAAGTAGGGAGGCAGTCAGCAAATTTATTAAAAGTGGAAGCAACAGAATAGCATATGTTTTAGAGCAAAGTGTGGGTGGACACAAGGACGTGTCGTGCTGGGGGGTTTTGTAAGCTACGATAATGAAGGGGTGGAATATTCTATTAAAGGGTGGATTTTTCTAAGAGATGGTTGAGCAATTCCTGGAATTGGGGTGTCACAATTTATTCCTATACACGGGCAGGGTCAGAACTGTCATGGTGCTGAAGGGTGTGTCACTTAGTATGCGAATGAGCATATAACGAAAGTAAAGATTACAGCAAGTGAACTTGGCTTTTTGTGCACCCACCCATGGAGATTCTCCAATTGAGCCTTGTCTGGTGGTTGGCTCTCAACCACAAACATCCTTAGTAGGCTGCAGCAGGCATGTTGGGCAAGAGTTATTTTAACAGTTGTGGGGGTTTGCGGTTTTGTTTTCCTTTGTTTTGCTTTTGTTTTTCTTTTCTAGCAGCCTTGAAATTGAGGTAGTCCCTGCAAAAGTTTCCACAGGTATCTAATTTTTTTCTACAGCTTCCTACAGCCCTGACATTTCCCTACTCTTGCCTGTCTACTCTATCAAAATCTCATTCACATAATTTTTAAAATTTTATTTAATTTTAAATATGTGGGGACAATTCGGGATTAGGTATACAAGTGGTCATTGTACAGGTAAAACTTAGGCCTCCCATTGGTCCCCATTTCGTCTACTTTGAGATCAGGTATGCTTATTGTGCCCCCTCTCCCCTGGCAGTTTCCCATCACTGCCAATCCCTTTCTTATAGTATTATGGTAAATGTTCAGGGTTCGCTTATGAGTGAGAACATGTGGTACTCTATTCTTTGTTTCTGTAATAGATCACTGAGTATGATAGACTCTAAATCCATCCAAGTTGCTGCAAAGTCCATAATTTTGTCCTTCTTTATGGCTGCATAATATTCCTTCGTATATATGCACCATTTTTTATCCAGTCCACTTTCAATGGGCAGCACAATTTTTTTATTTTCTTTTTAAAAAAAGTTTCTTCTCCATAGAACTGCCAAGTCCAATGCATAACATTTGTTATAGCATATTGTTATAATTGTTCTCTTTTATCATTAGTTAGGGGTTTTAATCTTTCGCTGTGACTAAGTTATACATTAAGCTTCATCATAGGTATGTATAGGAAAATACATCATATACAGGATTTGATACTACTATCTGGGGCTTCAGACATCCACTGAGTTGTATTCCCCCAAGGACAAGAGGGGACTACTGCATTCTTTTAAGAAAGGATAGGTTCTATGAGCAACCACAAGCAGGGAGAGTGGAAAGGAATAGAAAGTTATTTTAAGGTGTGACCTTAGGAAAGCCCTCAGGGGAGAAAGGCCTCTCTGAAGAGGTGAGGTTTGAGCAGAAAGATATCGCCATTTGTGCACATCTGGGCCTGAGGAAGCTCTTTCCAGGAGGCAGGAACAGCAGAAGCACAGACCTTGAATGAGCTTGCTAGTGTGTTCAGGGACCAGCAGGTGTCAGTGTGCCCAAGAGGGAACAAACAGCAGATGAGGTCCAAGGGGCAGCCAGACCAGAGCATGTAGGGCCAGTGGACAAGGCAAAGTAGAGACTTTGGACTTTAGTATAAGGTATGACAGGATACCATTGGATGGCTTGGGGAGGAAAATGATATATCAGATTCACATTGATAAAGGTTCATTTTGGTTGCTGTATGAAGAATTACCCATAATGGAGCAAGTTCAGAGAACTACTGTTCACTTCTAGAGAAGTGAGGTTTCCGGTCAAGCCAGATGTCTCTGGGAGGCCAGTGTTCACCCAGAAAGCCTAGGCAACAAAATTTTCTTGAGCACGCCTCTGCGCCAGGTACTATACGCATGGTTTTCATGTCCGTTTTCTCCCTTTCAAAGCTCTATTTTTTGACTGGCTTAAACTTTATTTTATTAACTAAGGAACTTATGCTAAGAACACTTGCCAAGAAATGAAAATGTGGACTAATGTCTACCTAAAATATTAGTTACATTATACGGATGTTGTTCAACAGGATTTTGTCAGTGATTGTTGGCCACATGTAAGTAAAATGTCATAATTGACAGCTCATTTTCATGTAGACATTAGACCTGACTGCTCATGTAGGCTAGGGAATAAATATTGTGAGTGCTCACATAAATTAGCAAATGTTATCCCTAGACAATGGACCGAATTTTAGCCAGTGTTAGGGTAGTGATCACTCAAGGGAAAGAGGAAGGGAAACTCAGACCAGAAACGAATTTGGAGGCTGAGGGCAGGGACAAATCAATTCTAGGTCCCAGTGATCAAGCCTGAACATTAGCAGTAGAAGCTATAGTTGTCACATAATGATGTCTGTGTCAGTGGTGGTGGTGGTGATTGTATTAGGAGTAGAAATCAGTTGTGGCCGGGTGTGATGGCTCAAACCTGTGATCCCAGCACTTTGGGAGTCTGAGGTGAGGGGATTGCCTGAGCCCACGGGTTCGAGACCAGCCTGGGCAACCTGATGAGACCTCATCTCTACAATAAATCAAAAAATTAGTCGGGCGTAGAAGCTCGCGCCTATAGTTCCAGCTACTTGGAAGGCTGAGGCAAAAGGATCGCCAGTGCCTAGCAGGTTGACGCTGGGGTGGCCGTGAGCATGCCCCTGCACTCCAGTCTGGGTGATGGAGTTAGCCTCCAACTCAAAAAAAAAAAAAATCAGTAGTAATTAATATAGTAATAACAGTTGTAATGTTAATGAAGATGGTAGTAGCAGACTGTCTCAAGATATAAACACATGATACAGTGGTGTACACAGGTAATTCAGTACGCTGTGTAGGGTATTTGCATGTACAAATACCAACTTGTGAATTTTTCATGTGACTATTTCTTACTAACTACCAAGGGGATCAGACAGTTGGGTCCTCTGGACGGTGAATTTTATCCCATTCAGAAAGCCATAGTATAGTCAGAAGGGTGCTTGGTTAGCATAGATTTTGAGCAAATTGAGTTCACTATATGATTTAAATGTTTAGCCCCATCTGCCTTGAAGCCTCCACAAGGGTATACCTTTCACAAGATAAGGCCAGTCTTTGAGCAGGTCCTGGTCCACGGACAGCACTTAGGTGGGAAGAAGTAGGCCTCTCCCTTTTTTTTTTTTTTTTGAGTTGGAGTCTCACTCTGTCACCCAGACTGGAGTGCAGTGGCTGCTCCCGGCAACCGCAGCCTTGACCTGCTGGGCTCCGGCGATCCTTCTGCCTCAGCCTTCCAAGTAGCCGGAATTACAGGCATGCGCTACCATGACCGGCTGATTTTTTTATTTATTGTAGAGATGAGGTCTCACTGCCCAGGCGGGTCTCGAACCCGCGGGCTCAGGCAATCCACTCACCTCAGCCTCCCAAAGGCACGAGATTACAGGCTGAGCCACCGAGCTCAGCTGCCTCTCCCTTCTTCCATGGATGGAGGCCACAGCACCTCCCAATGAGTTCTCTCTTCTGCTACATTCAGTCTGGTGATCCTCAAATGCTCCATTTACTGACTTGGAATGCCTCTGCTCCAATTCATTAAGGGTTCTGTGACTTTGTAAGTCTCAGAAAGCAATCTTACTTCTCTCATTTCTGAACTCTTGTGGGCGCCTCTCTGTAGCCCCCAAGTATTGACAATAGTTCCCACCAATTCTGTCCCCAGAGATTTAAAATAACTGGAGGAAGCATCCTCAAAATTTCTCATTTCAGAGTTTTCACATCCCAGCATATGAGGTGTCTCCTCTATACTCCAGAACAGAGCCCCAGAAAAAGTCTCCAGACAGTTTTCTTATGAGGAGAAGGTGGCAGAACTCGCAGAGATCCCTGTTTGAAGGAAGGCCATTTAACTGCACATGGGCAAGCCAGCAACAGCTAGAACTCAATGGATGTATGTCAGGACTCTTCTGCATCTATATATTACTTTTTCTTCTCAGTGAAAACATACCGAGGATTGAAAAGTGCTGTGGTGATGTTTGAGACAATGGTGGGACATTCCTTCAAGTGTGTGAGTGAACAGAGCATCCAGCTGTCAGCCCACCTTCAGCTGAAAACAATGAAAGTCCATCTTCAAGCCTTTGACTTTGAAGATGACCACTTTGGAAATGGTAAGTTAAGGGTTCATTGGGTCACAAACATAAACTTCAGCGACCCAGGGGGGTAGTTTCAAGGGGTTTTCGGTCTGAAGCTGTCAAAGGAGCAAGAATCACATGAGCTTTCTGCAATAGTATGACCCTACACGGGTCTTAGAGCCAAGTTTCTCTGTTGGCCCCTCTCTCCCACCTCAAAATGAGATGCTGTAAGCCACTCACATCCACAGTTCTCCTGCAGCAGGAAACATTCTGACTAGAACACATATTCTCACTCATTTAAACATATGCACACCCAATCAGAATCTCAGAAAACACCATATGCGACTTCCCATTTAGGTGCTGTTGAGCATTGGTAAACTCAGGTATATTTGGAGAACACTTTACAAATTCTGAGTATTCGTGATGTCTAAAATTCAAGATTTCAGGCCAGATGTGGTGATTCATTCCTTTAATTCCAGTACTTTGAGAGGCTGAGGTAGGAGGATCACTTGAGGCCAGGAGTTTGAGATCACGTTGGCAACATAGTGAGACCCTATCTTTACCAAACAAACAGAAAAAAAAATATTTCAGAACAGATTCTTTCCCACCTGCAGAGGGAAAAGAGCAGAGTGCAGTAATTTGAGATAGAAATAAACACTGTTGGGTCCATTTGCCTCAATTATAAGCAGTTGCACCCAACAGTGTTTCCCCACAGTAAGTTTTAGTTTCCATCTAACTTCTGCTTTGGGTTTGACTACTGTAGGCAGAGCTTTCCTGATGGCTACCCAGGAGGAAATCTGGTCCTTAAACAAGGGCCAGGAGCAGACCAGGTGGCTTTCCAAAAAAGTCCTTTTCTCCCTTCCAACAAACAGTGTTGCAAGGATTTCTACTTTCAACCAGTTAAGCCCTTTACTCCCTTCCAAGAAAACAGTATTATAAGGACTTCTATGTACCACCAGGAGGGATATGAGCTTCAATTTCTAGAACATCCTTCTCCTAAGAAGTCAAAAATGCTATTAGTACTTCTCAATGATCAAAAATAGATTTAGGGTGAGCGCAGTGGCTCACACCTGTAATCCCAGCACTTTGGGAGGCCAAGGCAAGAGGATTGCCTGAGTTTACAGGTTTGAGACCAACCCGGGCAACATGGTGAGACCTTGTCTCTACAATTAAAAAAAAAATTAGCTGGGCATGGTGGTACAACTACTTGGAAGGTGGAAGGATTGCCCGAGCCCAGCAGGTCGAGGCTGCAGTGGTCATGAATGTGCCACTGCACTCTAACCTGGGTGACAGAGTGAGACTCCAACTCAAAAAAAATTAACAAATAAAGACTTAGCTAGAAGTTTAGTCATATATTCAATTTCTATAATACAAATCTGATTTTGCTTTGGGTTCCGTGATAAAATTGCAGCTGTGTCTAGAAGAAAACTTCTCCTGGCATACTTAGTGGAAAGCACTTAGCAAAGGAAAGGCCAAGGTGTTGCTTGCCCTGGACCCCTGATTTCTGCAGGTTTTGTCTGTAACATACAGTCATACGAAAATTTGCTAGTTGCCCCACTTTGGCATCTACTCTTAAAACTTCTAATTTCAGAAAACAATTTCTTTTAAAATTCACTATGAAGGTTTGGAAAAAATCCCTCTAATTAATCATGTGATCTTAAAATAAGGTACACACCTGCTCAGTGGCTCATGCCTGTAATCCCAGCACTTTGGGAGGCCAAGGCGGGAGAATCACTTGAGTCCAGGAGTTTGAGACCAACCGGGGCAACATAGCAAGACCCCATCTCTACAAAAAAATCAGCCAGGTATGGTGATGCCCATAGTCCCAGCTACTTGGGAGGCTGAGACAGAAGGATTTGCCTGGACCCAGGAGTCTGTGGCTGTTGATAAGCTGTGATCATAACACTGTACTCTAGCCTGGGTGACAGAGTGAGACCCTGACCAAAAAAATAAAAAACAAAAATACCACCTCTGTGAAGCAGGAAGTGAGCAGGTCTGGGAAACCTCTCTGTGGCAGAGGTGGGAAATACAACCCTTGTGGAGCACACACCTGGCCTCCTAGCTTCCGTCAGCAGCATTCATGGAGAGAGAAAGAAAAGGTCTTTCCTCTACCTTTTTTCCTAAAGTCACCATCCATTGGATAGTTCCCCAAAGAGACTCGAGAGTCCTCCGTGACTCCCCTCCCTCCATGGCCCTCTCACACAGTCACACAGCCCTGTCCATTCTACTTCCAAAATGTTCCTCTTGTTCACCCACTGTCACTGCTTCAGCCCCGCTCCATATTTCTAGTCCTTGCTCTTCTGATTTCACTACAGATGCTTGAAGGTGAAGATGCATGTCATTCCATAAATAGTATCTTCTACCAGAGAGTAAGAGAAGGGGAAAAGGAAGCACGTTGCCATATGGTATGGCGTTTAAAAGACATACATGTCAGCCGGGCTCGGTGGCTTAGCCTGTAATCCCAGCACTTTGGGAGGCCGAGGCAAGTGGATTGCCTGAGCCCACGGGTTCGAGACCCACCCGGGCAACTTGGCAAGACCTCATCTCCACAATAAATCAAAAATTAGCGGGCCCTGATAGCGTGCACCTGTAGTTCCAGTTATTTGGAAGGCTGAGGCAGAAGGATCGCTGGAGCCCAGCAGGTCAAGACTACGGTGGCTGTGAGCATGCCACTGCACTCCAGTCTGGACGACAGAGTGAGACTCCAACGCAAAAAAAAAAAAAAAAAAAGACATACATGTCAAGGTCTATGGGAGCTCAGAGGAAGGCGTGATTAACACAGTGTTGGTGATGAGGGGGTGAACTAAGAAGTCTTTAGTCCACTAAATGGGTGGCATTTATGGGTGACATTTAAACAGGCACTGGAGAGGAATCCAGCAAATATCACAGCTGAGTTTTAGAAAACAGAATGGTCATCCCAAACAGTAGACTCCTGACTCCCACATCCTCATCCCTCCTCCCTAAAATCCTAGAGCCTGTAGGGGTTTTTGTTTGTTTGTTTGCTTGTTTTCAGCTGTAATTTCCTTTTGCTGTTTATTTTGCTGTCTCAGGAACCCTGCCAGTCTGAGCAGCTCCTTTAAAAAGCAGAGTTAGAATAGAAACTTTGGCTCTGTGATTTTGTGCCTGACTCTGTTGTTGGAGTTGGAGAATATCGTTCCAGGGCTTGCCATGGCTTGAGGGTCAAGACATCACTCTGATTATGACTCTCTAGAGCAAACAGTGTTTCTCAAAGTTGCATCTGCCTCCCAGAAGCATCAGAATCCCCCAGGTCCTACCTTAGACCCACTGCATTATAATTTCTTGGGCATGGGTCTGAGGATCTACACTTTAGAAACTCCTTAAGTAATTACCAGCACTATAAGTTTTAGATCCACTGGATCCACCCTTTCCCTCCCTGTTTTTACCCATCTGTTGTCTGAGGTAGCAGGTGGGAGGGCCAGCAGTTCCTGTTCTTCCTTTTCTGTGGAGCTGAGGCAGACAGGATAGTATCACTTCCCGGCATTTGTGACCAGCCTGTAACACCTGTCACTCTGACTTCAATTACAGCGGATGAATGCTTCAGTGACACAAACAAGAGAGAAATCCCTGTGGCCGTGGGCCTGAGTATCACAGGACTGCTTGTTGTTTTGCTAATCGCATGTCTGGTGGCCAGAAAGAAGCCCAGTAGAGGATATGAACATATATAAAGCCCCACTTTCTTCAAAATATGCAAGGTTAAGGCCTTAGGAATTCTGCTTCATATTCAGCCTGAAGTGAAAGGATTGATCTCTCTAGTTGCCTGCCGCCCCCTTCCAAGCTAACTAGGAAATTTAGCTTTCCACCAAAGGGTCATCCCGGGGTCAAGAAAGGGTACCCCCTCTTCCTCCTGTTGTCCTGGGGAGGCTGTGCCAGATGCACTTGAACGTCACCTGTCACACCTGAGTAAACCAGGCTGGCTCTGAGAATTAGGGGCAACAGGCAGAGACATGAGTGGGTGCTTGTGAGAAGGAGAGAGGAAAAACCCAAAGGAAGACCTATGAGAAGGACATTTGCAAACTGCCCTGGTTATTCCTGTACAGTTTTAGGAGTCTCAATCTTCAGTTAAAAGAAATATTACTTTAAAAAAATCCTCCTTTGAGCTGGAGCTGCAAAAATAAAATAAAATCAAGAAAAAAAATCCACTTCAAACCCGACGACAAAATGATTTTAAATTCCTGGATTTTACCCACATTCTGACTTAAGTTACAGATGGTCTTAATATACTATTATTTTTTTAAAAACATATTTTACTCTACTGTAATGTATTATTGGTAAAAGAACAGTTAGAAACCTGCCTGTTTCGCTTTTTAAATGTAAAGCACATACCAAGGATCTTGGCAAACAAAAGGGGCTCAGTAAATGTTAGTTCTCCAGTTCCCTCAGTTTCATTTGTTGTATACCTTCTTAGCATTTTTTTCCTGATTTTTTAATGCTATTCTAGCCTAGTAAATGTGTCCATTCAGGCCATTGCAGGAGGAGAGGTAGACAGAGCATTAAAACAATCAGAACTAGCTGGGCTCGATGGCTCAGCCTGTAATCCCAGCACTTTGGGAGGCCGAGGCGAGTGGATTGCCTGAGCCATCAGGTTCGAGACCTACCTGGGCAACTTGGCAAGACTCATCTCTACAATAAATCAAAAATTAGCCGGGCGTGGTAGCGCATGCCTGTAGTTCCAGTTACTTGGAAGGCTGAGGCAGAAGAATCACTGGAGCCCAGCAGGTCAAGGCTGCGGTGGCTGGGAGCGTGTCACTGCACTCCAGTCTGGGCAACAGAGTGAGACTCCATCTCAAAAAAAAAAAAAAACACAACAACAAAACAGTCTGGACAAGAAGGGTAGACTTGTCCAGATTATGACTCACTTGTCTTTCTTCACTTTCACCAAAAAGTAATATACCAGTCATTTGATATCAGCTGCCCCGTGATTGGGGGTGGTTGATATCTGAAGGAAAAGATTCTATCGAAATATGATTCAGGATGTTATTCATGGTCTTCTGTTACATTGATGAGTTAAATATGAG